CAATGGCTATTTCCGTTCTCATGTCCATACGATATATCCCAGAGAGCTTGAGATAAAAGGTACTACAGAATCTGATACATCTGTTTCATACTTAGATATTTTACTTGAAAAAGACGTCAGTGGTAATCTAACAACCAAGCTCTATGATAAACGTGATGATTTTAACTTTTCTATCGTCAACTTCTTACTTATGCAACAATATACCTTCATCACCTTCATACGGAGTTTATAAATCTCAGTTGATTCGATACGCAAGAGCATACTCTACCTATATACAATGTCTAAAGCGAGTTGTATTATTGACAATCAAGTTGATGAAACAAAATTAACAGCAGTCTCGTTTAAATTCATCATTTTGCAAGTTCTATGGTCGATACAATGATCATGTCAGCAAATACAGTTTATCATTAAGTCAAATGCTGACTGACGTTTTCCATGCTTATTGTTAGACCATTATTTACAGACTGAATTGTCGACAGATTTTTACCGTTATTTCCCATCCTGACAAGGAGCACACGGCGGGTGTGACCGGTAGGTAGTGGATGCTCACTCCTCCATGGCACCTGATCCCACCTCTGATATTTTGGAGGTCCGTGTTTGCTCTGCTCCTATTTTGTATTGTTTTATGGACTTTTGAGCTTGAATACTATTCGTTATCTCCCTATATTTCACTTCACCTTTTAATAATTCCTATTAAATTGATTGCAGTGGAAAACGTAAAAGAGCTGCAGGCATTATCATAACAAAATCTCATGAATTATATTTATATGATAATAATATATAATAAATTCTTTATTTAGACAGGATAGCACAATTAGTACATATGACTATTTTACATTGTGGTCCTGTATAAAACATATTTACAGACAGATTAAAAACAAGAGGCCCAAGTGCCACATCGCTCACCTGAGCAAATCGGCTAGGAAAAAGCACAAATCAGATCAGAACTGAGAAATTCACTGAAGGGGGGGGGGGTGAATTTTAATACTACTTGAGATTGTCTTCATATTAGTACAGCATATGACTTTGCTGTTCTTAATAAAAAGATTTTTCAAAAACCTTTTCTTCCTACATATAACTCGATAATAATTTGAATTTGATTCCCATTGTTTCCCTCCCTACTCCAAAGGACCATGATTTGAATAAATTTAAATCTTCAATACATGAGGATGCTTACATGTCAATATGACTAAACATAGCTTTTCTGTTCTTGGGATTTTTTCCTTTATTTTTCTATGTAAAACTTTGATCAACCATTGTGGCCCCACCCTTACCTTGGGGGTTATGATTTGAACAAATTTAATTCTACACTACCCGAAAATGCTTCCATATACGTAAATACTAGTATTACTAATCATAGCTTTGCTATTTTTTGGAAGATTTTTTTTTTTATATTTTAATGCAAAACTTGGATCCCCCACTGTGGCCCACACTATCCCTGGGGGTTATGATTTGAACAAACTAGAATCTATACTACCTGAGGATGATTCCACATAAATATCACTAATCATAGCTTTGAAGTACTTGAGAAGACGATTTTGAAAGATTTCCTTATCTAGTCCTATGTAGAACTTTAATCAGCCATTTTGCCCCCCCCCCCCCGGGGTTATGACTTGAACAAACTTGAATCTTCACAACCTGAGGATGATTTCACATAAGTTTCACCTTTCCTGGCCCAGTGGTTCTTAAGAAGAAGAATTTTAAAGATTTTCCCTATATACTCCTATGTAAAACTCTGATCGGCCATTGTGGCCCCACCCTACCCTTGGGGGTCATGAATTGAACAAACTTGAATCCACACTACCTGAGGATGCTTCCACATGAGTTTTATCTTTCCTGGCCCAGTGGTTCTTGAGAAGAAGATTGTTAAAGATTTTCCCTATATACTCTTATGTAAAATTTTGATCAGCCATTGTGGCCCCACCCTACCCACGGGGGTCATGATTTGAACAAACTTGAATCCACACTACCTGAGGATGCTTCCACATGAGTTTTATCTTTCCTGGCCCAGTGGTTCTTGAGAAGAAGATTGTTAAAGATTTTCCCTATATACTCCTAAAAACTTTGATTTGTGGCCCCAGTACCCCGGAGGTCAGATTTGAACAAACTTGAATCCACACTACCTGCGGATGCTTCCACATGAGTTTCATCTTTCCTGGCCCAGTGGTTCTTGAGAAGAAGATTTTCCCTATATACTTCTATGTAAAACTTTGATCGGCCATTGTGGCCCCACCCTACCCCCAGGGGTCATGATTTGAACAAACTTGAATCTACACTACTGAGGATGCTTCCACATGAGTTTCATCTTTCCTGGCCCAGTGGATCTTGAGAAGAAGATTTTTTAAAAATGCCATTAATTTTTAACAAATTCATAATTATCTCCCCTTGGAAAAGGGCTTGGCCCTTCATTTGAACAAATTTGAATTCCCTTTACCTAAGGATACTTTGTGGCAAGTTTGGTTGAAATTGGCCCAGTGGTTCTTGAGAAGACAAAATGTGAAAAGTTAAACAACGCCGAAAAGACAACGGACAAATTTTGATCAGAAAAGCTCACTTGAGCCTTCGGCTCAGGTGAGCTAAAAAGGAAGTAGAAACTAGAGTAAAAAAGGAATATATACATAGCATATTATATCAGACACATTTGTACATACTAGTAAATAGACTACTAGTATTAAATATTGTGCCATAAAATAAAATTCATTAATAACAATTTCTTCACCTGTTTAAATTATAATTTTGCAAATATGCTGATTTAAAAGAAGCTAAAGAATTACAGTTTCATTCTTTCGAAGTTTTTTGAAATGTAAGAATTAGCACCAAACTAAAAAAAATACATGCATTTATGCAGCAATGGAAAATCTGTATTACTTTAGGGAGATTATCGAACGCTGGCCTACGGACAAACGTGTATAACCCGCCATTCATTGACACTCGCTGCTATCTAATCAATGGTCTATTGATTGGACGAGACTGCACAACATTCATGTGAACTCAATAATAAACCTCGACCGAAAAAACTTTCCTTATGAGACCGGGTTTTTATTGTACTGGGTTTTGTAGGTTTACCAATGAATTTGGGGAAGAGGGACGTAAAATAAGAAATACTTATGCCCTAAGACATGTAAAGATAAGAACAGTAAACATGCTTTGAAAATGTTGAGCAAAGGAAACGCAAACCTCTGAAATATCAGAGATGGGATCTGGTGGCATGAATTATTATCAACCCCTGTAGTCATAGTTTTCGCGCTCATCTGTGCCTTTTGACATGAACTGGGAAAACAGAGTAATTGATTTACAATTGAGACTGATTTTTTTTTAGAATGATCAAATATTTGATTTCAAATTCAATACTCAAAAATACTAGAGAGTCTGACACATCAGATTAGGTTTTAGGTCTGGATTTTTTCTAGAAAAGAAGACGGTTTGGGTAAGCCAACAAAAACAGTACAATTTGATGATTTAAGTTTTACTTTTTATCGTCAACTTCCATTATTATGTACTGAGCAATATGCAATATGCAATATACCCTTTTTATTTGTAATAGTGTTTATGTCTCCCCGATTTTTTTATGGATAACATGCATATCCTCTGCGAACAATTTCTAATAGGAGGTAAACTATTGAAATACAAATTGATGAAACCATGTTATGTCCAGTCTCGTTTCAAGTCATCATTTTTGCAAATTCAATGGTCGATACAATGCCATTTTTAACAAATACAATTTATCATTAATACAAATGCTGACCGGCGTTTTTCATACCCATTGACTACCGTTTGCCCCATCAAGACAAGGAGCACAAAATGGGTGTGACCGGTCGGCAGGGATGCTCACTCCTCCATGTCACCTGATCCCACCTCTGATGTTTTTTTAATGTCTATGTTTGCTTTGCTCCTGATTTGTTTTGTTTTTGTGGATTTTTTGGCTTGATTATTGATCGTTATCTTCACATTTCATCCTAAAAATTTGTATCAGCAAAAAAAGTTTGTCATTGTCTGAATTATGATAAAGGAAAGCTAAGAAGTGAGTAAACAGTTGTCTATTTTTATACATGCTGTGAAAATATACAGAGATAACCTTGTTTTGATTTTAACTGGATAATAATTCTTTTGAAAAATCTGCTTTTAAATTCTAAATTATGATACAATATGCAACTTACGTGGATTTTAAAATAATTTTGCTTTTATATGAAAAAGACAAATAAGTGGAACTATACCACACCACAGAGAACTACTTATTTTGTCTATAATGTAGAAAATACATAAAACTCCTTCACAAATTAAAAAGAACCCCCTTAGAAATATTTTTATATAAATGAACGCTACAAATGTTAATTCTTATCAACATCCTCTGAAATCAGTAATTAAACTTTAAACCTTTCATTGTAAATTAACGTAGTCCAGGAAAAGTAAAACAAATGATTAATTACTTGTTAATTATACATTAAATCATTATTATATCATCATGTAATATATACTAGTATATTAGTTGAAAAATTGCAGACGTTACACATTTTTATGATTAGGTTCCACTCAAGTCAATTTTTTAGAATGTTTATCTTCCTAGAAAAATGAAGTTTGATCCTTAATTCGATAATCATATTCTTAAACAGCTTGAAACAAGCACTACATAATTGTAGGGAGGTCACGCTGTGTCTTTACATCTCATTCCATAGGATAATGTTTTCAAATTCTGTAAAACTTGAGTAAAAATGCTTAAACTCAATAACTTTCTCAGAATTTCCCGTCATAATTTTTCAAGGAAAAGAAAACCTGTACAAGTACGAACAACATAGAAGCTTCTTCGATGATAGCCATGTCACATTAATTAAACACTAGTAGTTTACATCCATTAAAGTGAATTCTCAGGGCGCCGTGTGTTGTCTAAGCTTGGGCAATGAATTGTTTTGTAATAAGTTGAAATGTTTTGGTGACGGGGTCCTTTTTATTACCACGTTGATGATTCAGTGATCTTTCCAGCGGAATTTATTTTATGGAATAAATTTGACAATGTGACTTCTTTATTTCATAATATTAAATCAGTTATAAATGACAAAATAAATGAACGTTTCCTTCCCTTTGTTTTCCTATTCACATTTCTCTCTTCTTACATTGTTACTTATATAACACTATTACTAAAACGTGTACATTGCAGTACAAGTTTAATACTTGTAAACCACTAATATGTTGATGCATTCAATGTAGAATTGTGTCAAAAATATCGAATTATTATGCAAAAAATTCGAGACAATATATTGATCCGTAGTGATAAAACTTTTACATACAATTACCATGGTGGCTTTAAATTAAACTTTTAACATTGTAGCCTCACTTTACTTTTTTCTTAGAACAAATTTACGAAGTATATTGTAGAGAAAGGTGTACCTGACCGTGATACACAATTAAACTTTGTGACATTTCTTGTGGCATGATAAATAATTTTGCCTTTTTTAAAACAAGAATATCCTGGTAAACGAAAGGACAATATCCGTTTTACAGGTGTATTTTACAATCCACTTAACATGCTAAATTACTATCTAACCTAAGACTGAGGTATCTTGTGAATAAAGCAAATCCAAATGAGCTCATACAAAACCAGATACTGTACATCATTCTGTATGGTCGAAAGAATTCTAATATTGCAAGACATATTCTTTATAAAAATATTACAAATAGAAAACAAGTGAACAATTTTACAGCATCAAAAAAATATCAAGAGAATGTTACACTACAAAATATAAAAATCTTATATCAATTCACTTTTAAATTGTAGTGTACAAACACGTCAATGCCATTTTTTAAAAAAAACTTAAAATGAGTTACTATTTCAAGTTAAAAACGAATACTCTTATTTTTGTTATGCAACTAGCAAGATATCAAGGTGAGTAATGTAACATACAATTCACCAAAAAAGATCACAAAATATTGTTTTTCTCATTTTTGACACTTACAATGTCTTTTTCATTGATTAAATCAGGAAAAATGTTATCTCGATCTATCATAGAAATCGGACTCGAGTTTCCATCACTTCCGGCCTCCGTAATGTCCGTCTCACAAGAAGTTTGATTAGAATAAGCTGCACTTCTACACCGACTGTCAATAAGCATGGCTTTTTGGCCTTTATAGGACAAGGCGTACACCAATCTATCGATAAATATTTTATCGTCCTTTCGGATGTATGTAAATGTCTTAAGACATCGTTTTAAATCATTGGGAAGGTCACTGGTAGGAATATCTTCCATCATGATTACCAACAAATGCCGTTTTCTCTCATAAATGCTTTGCTGAAATGCCTCATGAAATTCGTACATACAGTAATGGCTGTTGAGAAAATGTTTGGAGAGAACGATGACTGTATGGCGACTGGCTTCCACACAGTCTATGACATTGTCAAAAATGGTTTTCCCTGGCATAAAATCTTTGTGATGTAAACAAAACTTGAAGTTTTTAAGAGGGTTGTTAGAAGCAGTATTTTCAAACACACTGGTGACCCACTCCTGATCATGGTTGCAGTAGGAGACAAAAGCGTCAAATTTCTTATTTTCGAATGTTTCGATAGGTTGACAGGGTAAAATGATGTTAAAGCGTGTATATGTTAATATTCTAATCTCCCTTCTGAATTTAAGGAGAATTATGATAACAATGATGAGTGCCACTGATAAAAGACTGAGGAATACCACTGCTTCTACTGCTATTCTCTCTACCAGCTCATGCTTACAGTTTAAGTCTTCTGTGTTAAGATCAGAGAGTCGTTTTCCATAAATGTCGTCGGGATACATGCATTCTAAATCCATCATGAATCTGTATCTCTGATATTTCGGTTGAATCCATTTTGATTGATCGTTAACGTAAGTAATAAGTTGTCTGGTTTCTTCAGTACAGGAACAATTTAATGGATTGTGGCTGAAATCAATGAACAATTTTTTCATGTCCACGAGTTCCTCTAGCTTGTCGACTTTAAACTCAGAAATGTTATTGTAGGAAACATTCAGGGTCAACATGGGAATATCCCAGACATCAGCCGTGGGATCAAACTCCAGCTCCGTGAAGAGATTGTGCGATAGGTCCATCACCTCCAGTTTTTGGAAATAACGATACCATTTTCTATGTGCCTCTGCCAGGTTTGGAAGCCGAGTGTTCGATAAGTTAAAAAACCTGAGCGAAGGAAACATTGCGTTTTCTGTGGATAATTCTGTGTGAAATTTCGATGTTTGAGTATTGATACTGAGGTCTGCATATTCGAGTTTGTTGAATATACATTTGTGTTTGATATGACGAGACTTTGGTAGCATTTCTGATCCTGTGTTTAGTACTTCAATAGACATGTTAGCTAAGTCATTGTTAAACATACTAGACAAATAAAGTTCCATAGACTTATCAAACGCATAAGTGATGTTTCTAAACACATATCTTTTTAACGTATCTTCATGTCCACAGTCGAAATCTTTATTAAGTTCAGAAATGTTTATAGCGATATTTAACATGTCCATTATATCAATAATTATAACACTATCAACGATATCCAACACTTCGAGTTCATCCGGAATATTTGAAGGAGATATCTGAGTATATTCCCGTAGATAGTGGTCCAGGTCGCACGACTCTACCTGCAGTTGTAAAACATTTCTTGCTTTTAATGGCCAAGGTACAGAAATATTTGACCCACCTTCACATTTTATTTCAAACTTATATTTCACTGTTTTGTTGTTTACGTGTTCTTTTAATTCAGTAAAGCTCCATTTTCCAGAAAACTGTTTTTTAACATGACAAAAGAAAACTTTAATTTTCTCATCACTTTCTTGCTTCAGCGTACAAAATTTATCCCACCCATATGGTAAATATCCGTCATTTTCTTCTGTTTTGTTTGACACTAAGGATTTTGTATCTGTTGGTAAAGGTGTTGATGTAACATTCACGAACGTATAAACTGCCAAAACAATAAAATAACACGTCAGGCTGCAGGACAGCGCCATCTTTTTTCACTCTCTGATGTTTACGCCTGCCACTTTGACGTCGAACTACTCAATAGGTCAGAAAGTGCCCTCACTTTAGCGAAAACATCAACACAACTGCGGAACATCAGATATATTCCTTATAATATAATTGTGTTCCAGAAAACAAATTCTTAGCGAACAAAAACAAATTTACTAAAATCCATGGTGTATGCCTGATAGACGAAGTCCGCGGCTCTTCATAATGTCACGAAACACACGATCTAAGGCGGGCACCACGTTATGTTTTCTGATACGCTTTGTTGATATATACCGACTGCCTGCGGCAATGCGATCTATCAAAATTAATTTGGCTGTTAAGATCTAATTAACGCATGCTTCCTGAGAAAATGTGAAGAGCGATTTTGTTCTTTTGAGCAAAATATTCTCGAAGTTATAATCACTGTTAATAAATGTACAAAACTTACAATTTAATGTTATGTAGCACAACACTGCATATTTAGATCTACATCCACTGGCAAGCACGCCCACTTGATTACACATATGTACACGTGCATGTTACGCTTTACAGCCAGTGGCCGGAGTTGTAGAGTTATGCTGTTCATTATGGTGTTACAAGAATGCCTGAATAATTTCATGTATTTCAATTCAGAGAAACTTTTTGAATACATTAATTCGAGTCTTTCTTAAAGATTTTCTGCGTGAGCATCATTTTAACATTTTATTCCACCCTTCCAATTCCTAGACTTTTATTGCAAAATGAGCCTAAATAGGCACTTATTATTAATTAACTCACCTTTCAATGTTCAGTAACACTGCATTGTAGTTGAATTTCTGCTAAAATTGCTGCAGTTTTGAAATGTTGATTTTTCAAAAATACGTATACCTTGTTCTGGTTCCTTGATCCCGCATAGTTAAATAGGTTGTATTACACACACGTCTATGATAGTACTGTTTTATGTCTAAATTAATTTATTTGTCCAAACCTCTAGAACGTTTTCCAAATTTTTTTTCGGTCATCGGGTTATGGTTATCCGTGCCTTCTGTTTGAGTTGCTCATACGAGTACAGCATTTAACCATTAAAAGAATCTTCTACATTTGTTTTATATATATGTATTGAATGGAAAAAGTGACTTATAGGTCCAATGGACCGGGTGCAGATTCAATTTGCCGTATTTTGTTTAAAATGTATATATATTACAATGTCTATAATACACAATGTCACTATAATAAATGATTACTTACTTACTTGCTCCCTTCACTTTCAGAAATCATCAAATTAGGGCCCATCGGTTTGTTATCTCGGGAAAATAACTTGATCTTAAAACCAATGTCAGACATTAATTAATTAAACAGTTTAAATGGTTAAATTTGTTTCAGTTTTCACTGCACTGCATGTGGTGAATGACTTTAAGAAATAAAACATGTTAAAAAAAATCATTTTTATTTATTTCAAGGCTTAATGGTAAAAAAAAAAATATGCATTATAATTTTTGAAAGTTCTGTGTATAAACCAAAGCAAAAAGAACAATACATGTAGGAATTTATTTGTTACCGGAATATAAAACATTCTTCATTAATCTTTTCCCAGATGTTTTCCTCTTCTCCTAAAAAAAATCTGCAATCTCCATTATATTGCATGAACAATTTTTAAGCATTTTCGCAAGCCAGGTTTTTAATTTTTTTCTTGTTATTAGCGCTTATTTATAAAAAAAATAAATTATATGCAATATTAGGGCTTTTATGAGTTAATATCTCATGGTATTTCGATATTTTCTTTAAATTCCATCATTTAGTTAAAATAATTATATTTTTACATTAAAATGAAAATAATTACATACCTGAATTCAGCCAATCGGATAGCGCATACTATTCTGTGATCTATATCTTTTACCTACCCCCCAAAAATGATGCAAACATCCGGAGGCTATGGTATCCTCGTTCCATAATAGAAACAGAGATAAGAAAACTCAAAGTGAAGCAATGGATGAGAAGAGAGATGGAGTGGTGGAATGATAAAAATGCGGTACCCAAAAATACGAAGTGGCAAAAGTTAATATGTGAAAAGTTGTTTCTTAATTGTTTCATGACCTAATGCAACATGGCACTAAGCAGTCTTTTCATTGGTTTCAAGACTCTGGCTTGAAAGGCCACATTATAATGCTGTATTATGCCAACGGTTTGTGAGGAGCAAAGAGAACCGAAAACCTTTTTCCCTACAAAAAAGAGAACTTTTTATTGCATCATAAATAATCTTATAAAGATCAAAAATCAAAAATATTAGTACATGTGTCTATAAAATATATGAAATATTTTAACTTTCGATTCAAAATTACTAATTTAACCAGGTTTGTAGCATTTATATTATGAATTCCATTTCTTGTCATCTAAATCAAATTTCTGACCTTGCCCTATAGAAACGACTTGATTCAAATTAGGAATACAGATTTATGTCACCAGCGTCAAATTACTCAAATTTAACGCCATTCCAGTCATGGATTTCATGAATTTATGACCAAAACACAATTTCAATTTTGCCAAGTTACTTTGAGATAAGACAAATAAGTCTTATTGTCAAAATACACATCTAAATTATCAGTTGGTCAAATATATGATAATTTCATACAACTGTCCTAAATTCTAGTGTTTGACAGATTTATATTGCCAAGTGACTTTGACCTGCAAGATAAGACATTGATTCAAGGTCATCACACATGAAAAATCAACATTAGTACTCAAGTTTGCAGCTTTCTCATTCAAGGTTGACAGTTTAGATTTGGACACTCTTGTGTCGTTGGCAGACAGAAAGACAGACAGCTTTCCATCAAATAATGACAAGACATAACACTGCATGTACAGGTTTTTCCAAGATACCACATTTGTCAGATGTACTTTAAGTGTCTCCTCCTTAGCCAATTCACAGCAACCTGCACTTTAAATCATTAACATCTTTCGAACTATTGCACAAAGGCTTCAATAGACAGAAGGTCACTACACCGCATCTGTCAGAATTCTTTGAGTCATTCGTCACAAGTTACGATCGATGCATATTTTATTTAAAATACAAGTTTGTATGAAGCAGTTCTATTATTATTCAAATTAATCAGTAAATTAGAGGTATTTCAAAGCTCTTCCTATGAGAACGAAAAGGGTGGAGATACACGAACAGTGATCGATCTCAAATAATCTGTAAACAATACATATATGTGAAGAGGGCAAAACACACGGACCCCAGGAACTTCCACAGGTGAGATCAGGTGCCATGGGGAAATAAGCCGTCTTATTTGTTATATAATGTAGTAGTTAGATTGTATCTATTTCCAAGCTCATTTTGATATCTCTCGCTGACACAAAAGTAGCTTGGCGCTTCCGTTAGAGCGGTTATCTTAACCTTGTGCTTTAGAAACCTTTAGTGCCCATCAAAATCTATCTGTTTCTTCCATTAAAAAAAATAGGAACGGAGCAAACATGGATCTCCAAAACTGTATTCGCTAACAGGGTCATTGTATCGACCATATATAGAACTTACAAAATGATCACTATAAACGAGACTGCTGTGATATGTTTGCTTCATTAACTTGTTTGTCAATAACTTACCTCATTTTGGAAATTATTCATACGTAGACATGCTCTTTCGTATCGTTGTTTTGCTTTAGGATCAATTTTAAGAATTCCTTTAGGATCAATTTTAATCAAAATATGACATTTTCTAATTCCTTTTTTTAACGATGTTGTTGTTTATGAAATTATAAGGACATGTTTTAAATTGATTATGGAGAATGGTTGAATATATCGTAGAAAGGTGTAGGTTTTGATGTTTTTAAATTTAAAAGAAATTTGGTGATCTGAAATTTTCTAAAAGTTTTTGGATTTTTAAGAATGTAAGTCTAATCTACACCACTTCTAGAGTAACGTATCTTCCTTTGTAAGGATACAATTTCAAAATTTAATTTCCTAGTTACTTTAGGATAAGAAAAATAAGATAGTATTATTGTCACAATACATATCTAAATTATTAGATGGTCAAATATATCATAATTTCATTTAACCTTCCAAAATTCATGTGTTTGACATACTTATATTGCCAAGTGCCTGAGTTTGACCAACAAGATATAACATCGATTCAAGGTCATCACACAATAACGTTCAAACTTAGGTACTCTACTTTGCAGGTTTCTCAGTCAAGGGTGACAGTTCAGATTCGGACAACCGTGTGTCGTAGGCGGACAGACAGAAAGACAGCTATGCACCAAATAATGACAAGACATAACCCTGTACAGGTCATTCCAAGATTTACATCGCACTGATTTCTAGGTCATCAAGAAAGAAACCTGTTTTTTTCAGATTCACACTTAGTAAATACTTACAAGTGGATACCACATTCATCGGATGTACTTTTAGTATGTCCTCCTCAAACAATTCACAGCAACTTGCACTTTAAATCATTAAATTTTTTCGAACTATTGCACAAAGGCTTCAAATAGACAGAAGGTCATTACACCGCATCTGTCAGAATTCTTTGAGTCATTTGTCACTAGTTGCGATCGATGCATATTTTATTTAAAATACAAGTATGTATAAAGCAGTTCTATAATTGTTATTCGCGTTAATCAATAAAATATAGCTATTTCAAAGCTCTTCCTATGGGAATGAGAAGGATGGAGATAAACAACAGTGATCGATCTAAAAAAAATCTGTAAACAATACAAATATGTGAAGAGGGGAAAACACAAGAACCCCAGGAACTTCCAGAGGTGAGATCAGGTGCCATGGGGAAATAAGTTGTCTTATTTGTCACACAGTTTAGTTGTTAGTTGTGTCTTTAATTTGAAGCTCACTTTGATACATTTTTCTGACATAAGATTGGCGTGGCGCTTTCGTTAGCGCGTTTATCGTAACTTCGTGCTTTAGAAACCTTTAGTGCCCATTAAAATCTATCTTTTTCTTCTGGAAACTAAAGAGATGATACATATGAAGTTAACGAACAGTATTCGAGCTTAATAGTCCATCAAACATTATAAAATAGGAGAAAAGAAAAAAGTCATTTCAATAAGAGAGGCAATTACTTAGCATTAGAATTGAAAAGAATTGTTGCATAATAACCTTTTATCTAAGAATTGACAAATGTAGAGGTGGGGCGTTCTAGTACTTAATTATTACTAGATTTAACGGCTATTAAAATTTAAATTATTATTCCTTTTGAGTAGGCAAAAAAGATTTTTTTTCCAATGAGAGATTAAAAACAGAAGACTGATGTTCAAATTAAAAATACAGGCCTTAATTATCAAGCATTAACTTAATTGGCTTCGGTTGACGTTTTATATGTAGCCCTGCAGCTCAAAAGAATAATGCATTTATAAAAGACGAAAATATAAGATAAAAGAGATCATATATTTCATAAAAGTTAGACGTACTTTGTCATAGAATCTATTTTTGCTTAGTTTTCTTATTAAACAACCAGTAATTACTGATTGGTATTTA